TCAACTCGACATCAGAAATCTTAGCTTTGTCATCTAATTATGCAGAAAAAGCTGTTAAACTTGTGAGTTTTTTTTTCTATGTAAAACCTTTTCCCATTTTGTTGCATATGAAAATGGTCACTTGTGCCAAAGATTATCTTGTGATTTTTGCATTTTTCCATTGAAGCTAATGCACTATATACTACATGTATGTACTACATTTTATGTGTAGCAAGTATTAAGCAGATTGGTAGAATCTTTGCCCATGGATGTACTTTTTTGAAGAAATGAGAAATTTCGGAAGATACTACATTTATACAGGGTTTATTGGAAACAAGTTTGCCCAGTTTTAAAGAAGGTGGGCGCATTTGGCGTGTGATCTGCAGGAATCATTTGTACGAAACTTTTATGGTTTAAATGTCTATTATTTGGTTGGCTGAACATAGCTGGTCAGATTTTACAAACACATCCATAGGGTTTTTAGCTCACCTGAGCCGAAGGCTCAAGTGAGCTTTTCTGATCAAAATTTGTCCGTTGTCTGTCATCGTTGTCGTCGTCGTTGTCGTTGTCGTCGTAAACTTTTCACATTTTCATCTTCTTCTCAAGAACCACTGGGCCAATTTCAACCAAACTTGGCACAAAGTATCCTTGGGTAAAGGGGATTAAATTTTGTTCAAATGAAGGGCCATGCCCTCTTCCAAGGGGAGATAATTATGAATTAGTGAAAAATTAATAGCATTTTTAAAAAATCTTCTTCTCAATAACCACAGGGCCAGGAAAGATGAAAATGTGGAAAAGGTAGTGTAGATTCAAGTTTGTTCAAATCATGACCCCTGGGGCTAGGGTGGGGCCAAAATGGCCGACCAAAGTTTTACATAGGAATATATAGGAAAAATCTTTAAAAATCTTCTTCTCAAGAACCATTGAGAAAGGAAAGATGAAACTTAAATGAAATTATCCTCAGGTAGTGTAGATTCAAGTTTGTTCAAATCATGACTCCCGGGGCTAGGGTGGGGCCAAAATTCCAAAGTTTTACATAGGAATATATAGGAAAAATCTTTAAAAATCAAGAACCACTGGAATAGGAAAGATGAAACTCATGTGGAATCATCCTCAGGTAGTGTAGATTCAAGTTTTCATGACCCCCGGGGCTAGGGTGGGGCCAAAACAAAGTTAAATATATAGGAAAAATCTTTTAAAATCTTCTTCTTAAGAACCATTGAGACAGGAAAGATGAAACTTAAATGAATTTATTCTCAGGTAGTGTAGATTCAAGTTTGTTCAAATCATGACCCCTGGGGCATGTCAAAATGGCTGACCTAGGGATATATAGGTAAACATTTTAAAATCTTCTTTTCAAGTACTTCAAAGCCATGATTAGTGATATTTTTCTATTCATACGGAATCATCCTCAGGTAGTGTAGATTCTACTTTGTTCAAATAATAACATCCAGGGGGGTTAAAATTCAAGCCCCCCCCCCCCCCCCCAGTAAACTTTCAGTTTTGATCTGATATGTGCTTTTTCCTAGTCGATGTGCTCAGGTGAGCGATGTGGCCCTTGGGCCTCTTGTTTCCATTTAGTTTGAAAGACCTTGTGAGATTGTAGCATTTATGTCCGTTTTTCCTAGGGGGTACTATAACATAGTAATGTTTCACAAAAAATAAACACCTAAAATATTTAATGCATAGATGCATGATACGTGTACATGTACATTATAGAATAGAAGATTGGAATTGATTTCGCTCGAGAACCAAACTGAACCAAAAATTATCTAATCCAAAATTTTAATACATCAGTACATAAAACGAAACTGACAAAATAAATGATTGTTTGCATGAAAAAAAAATTAACGCCCCATGTCAGGCTCGAACCAAAAACTTTTTGCCTCGAGCTCACTGAACAGGTAGCTCTACTTACTGAGCTATCACTGCTACACATATACAAGCGATTTAAAAAGGACAAAGAAGCACCACATTCACACATTTGGATTTTTAGGGGAAAAGTTCATTTTTCGTGGTCTGTGGGTCTTCTCTCCATTTTTTAAAAATGTGTATTTGTTTCTTTGAATTAAAATACACACAAAAAACGTTTCAAAATCATGGAGAGAAGACCCAGAGATAGAAAAAATTTAGAAAAAAGTGTACCAAATGTCTGATCTGGCCAATATTCAAGTTATTTTTTAGGAAATCAAAGCTCAAGGGTGTGATAAATAAAAAAATTTATAAAATTTCATGTGACATGTCGATAAAATTTTCACTTTTCAATTACGCCCAGATTCCTGCCGAATGCCAATCAAAAGCGCCCTCGTTCTTTGCACAGAAAGATTTTTGTTTTAGATATGATATTATACTGTTTACTTTGAATTCGCCCAATTTTGAATTCACACACTTTCAACAAGGGTGAAAATTAAATGGGGCAAAACTTTCCCTGTATACAGTATTCATTTTTCTTCTGCTCTTCCTTTTTAGGTTCATGTTCCTTCCATGACTGTTTTTTCAAACTTCCCAGAAAGAAAAGTGGATAATTTAAGGATACCCACATGTATGGACTTTTCCCTGAACAGTGGTTATTTCTCTATAGGAACTCACAGAGGCTGTGCTCTCTTATACAGGTTTGTTGTTTTAGGGTCACTTTTGATCTTTATACCCCCCGCAAACGGAGTTTGGGGGGTATATAGGAATCACCTTGTCCGTCTGTCTGTCTGTCTAGCTGTCCGTCCGTCCGTCTGTCCGTCTGTCTGTGCAAACTTGTCCGGTCCATATCTTTCTTACGGAGGAACATTAGAATCTACTACTCCACACAAAGATTGCCCATGACCTAAGGGTGTGTAATGATTTTGACCCAAGGTCAGTTGGGGAAGTTCAAGGTCATTGGAAGAAAAAAAGAAAAGAAGTCATGGAAGGAACATGAACCTAAAAAGGAAGAGCAGAAGAAAAATGAATACTGTATACAGGGAATTTTTGCCTCCGTTTAATTTTCAACATTATAAAATTAATTTTCTTATGGATGAACTTGGTAGATTCTCATTTCACACAAAGATTGCTCATGACCTAAGGGTGTGTCATGACCTTGACCCAAGGTCATTTGGGGAAGTTCAAGGTCACTGGTAGAAAAAATGCATTATTCATGTCCGGTCCATATCTTTCTTATGGATAAACTTGGTAGGTTCTCATTTCACACAAAGATTCCTCCTGACCTAAAGGTGTGTCATGACCTTGGGTCAAGGTCATTTGGGGAAGTTCAAGGTCACTGGAAGAAAAATTTTATAATTTGTGTCCGGTCCATATCTTTCTAATGGATAAACTTGGTGAGTTCCTATTTCACACAAAGATTGCCCATGACCTAATGGTGTGTCATGACCTTGAACCAAGGTCATCTGTGCAAGTTCAAGGTCAGTGAAAGAAAAATTTCACAATTCGTTTCCAGTTCATATATTTTTTTATGGAAAAACTTGAATATACTACTTCACACAAACATTGCTTATGACCTGAGGTTGTGTCATGACTTTAAACCAAGGCCATTTATGCAAGTTCAAGGTCACTGACAGAAAAAGTTCATAATATGTGTCTGGTCCGTATATTTAATCTATTTTTTTATTAGGCTGCGCCTTCATTTCATTTCTAAAAAATATAATGAGCAATTACATTTGCACTAAAAATGTTTTAGCATTTCTCTCTTCTCTTAGATCCATAAAATAGTCATGATTTAGCACCTTTGAAAAACTCAGCGGGGGGTATTTTGTCCCGTTTGGACAGTTCTAGTTGTTGATTGGCTAATCATTTTTATCAATCAAAAGTCAATACATGTACAGTGTATAAGAGTGCTGTGTTTTCTTTTAAAGTCCAAATACTCTCTTAAAAATGTGAAGGAGATGTATTTTAAAAAAATTTAATACATGTACTAAAAAGTTTTAAGAGAGGTATATGTAGATTTACCTGGACAAATATTGAGGCTCCCCTTTCTCCAGCAGCCATATCTCTGGTTATCACTAAATAGTATTGACACCATTTATTGTTTAATAATGTACATGTAAAAGGAATAAGGTCCCATTCCCTTCTTGTCTAAGATTTCTTGTATCACATTATGCTCTCATTGGTATCTCATTCTTATTTTGCAGAGTCAAGCACTACGGAAATTACTGACAAAAAAGTATCCTCAGAGGATTCAGGAACATTTCTAAAGCATTTCTACAGCCCAAAATATTTAGCAAATGGTCAAGTGAAATTCAGAAATTTCAGTCAATTAAATTTTATGAGTAGTGAATTATCAGTGACTTTTAAATTTGTAAATGAGCGACATTTGATAAATTTTGATTTGTTACTACTGATGTCTTTCACTCATACATCAACAGACTATAAACATCCACATGCTTGTGAAAAAAATCGAACACATTGTTCAAGTTTATATGGACAATTTTTACTTTTAAAATGTTCTCCTATTTTGGAAGGCATGTGGTCCCTTTTCAGAATTTCACATTATTTGTTATGTATACAATGTACATATATATGTATGTTTTTTGAGAACAATTAAAAAATATAAAATATTCTTAATGCTAATTTTCATTTTATTATTCAATACCAATAATACTCAATATCAAAGATAAGATCAAAGCTTTTGAAGTGAAAAAGGAACATGTCCTATATATGAATAAAGGCTATAAAGGTTGCTACAAAGGAAATCCATGTACTCTGTGGATGTACACAAGGACATTTAAATAAGGTCAAGGTTACAGGAGTTAAAAGTGATTACTGTTTTTGTCCCCAACAATCTCAAACACTTATCATATGTTGTAAATGATATTGACACTTTCATCTTATCTATATTGGAGCACAGTAATGGCTTTGATTTGGTTTTACTTTCTTGCTGCCCAGAGACCTTGACCCATGACCTTGTATCAAAGTAGCAATGCATCAGATGGTCATGGTAACAAAAGGATGAAATCCATCATTGAGAAGTTGTACAGCGTGTTATAGTTGATGTCTACATTTATGTTATTAAATTATAAAATGAAAACAAGAAAATGATGTCAATTTTCTTTATTATTCAAAATGAATAATATAATACACATTGCTCAAAAAAATAACACAAATGATTAAAATGAATGTTCATGCTCCCTTCTCATTTTCATATATCTCATTTTCTCCCCCTCATTCTCCCATGGAAAAAGTTAAATGCAAGCATTTGTTGCAGCACTACAAAGATTTTTTTAAGAAGTGAGATGAATTGCTTCCAAACCCTATTGATCAGTATCACATATTAAAAATAAAATTTATTCTTATCCGCTTTAATAATCTGAGGTAGCTTATTCCTAGTTTGTACCTTAATAAACAATTAATATACAAATGTAGACCATCAGTATATTAGATCTGATAAGTGCTAATTCAAGCTATTAATTTAATTCATTATACACTCAATATTTCATGCAAATAACTTTTCAACCTTGGTTACAGTAAAAAAAAAATGTGTATGAGACACAAATGTGAGCATGTACAATTAATTTATTATTCCAGCAAAGACGAAACAACATTGGTCTGTGCTGTGTATACACTAAAACATGACTTTGTGTCTTAAAAAATTAGATAAGCAGACTCTCAGAGATATTGAAGCAAGGATTGAAATATATGTACCTTAAAAAAAATTAATTTTTTTATTAATTGCACATTATTTAATTTTATATAAACAAATTAAAAAAAGTATGCTCTTCCAAGTTTATACATGTTCATGCACATCAATTTTTTATCCCTATGGAATGTTTAAGGTACACTTAAATACATTTTGTACCCGTTCAGGCTGCATTAAAATCTTTTGTTCACTCAGAAGGTAATGACAAAAATAACCAATTGACAAAGACTAAGCAAAAATATATTCTGTACACAGACAATATTTCAGAATGGTTATACAATTTGTACTTGAAACTTTCCATTTGAAATTTCCAACAATAATTTAGATATGCTAAAACTATAGCTGTTATGTTTATACACACGTACTTTGATTCAAACGGTAACCTCATCAGGCTTCAAACTACATGTATTGCAACCTAATTAAAATTAGATGTTAGATCCGCTTGCAAACTCCCTATACTAACATCTAACAACATCCCATAGAGGGTCATGTCAGAGGTCAAATTTGGAACAAGTCTCGACTTATTCATTTCAACAAATAAATAATGATTTTGCAGGCGACGATTTGGTTGGTTGATAGAATTTGACCTCTGATGTGACCTATGGGATGTTGTTAGATGTTAGTGTAGCGAGTATGCAAGCGGATCTAACATCTAATTTTAATATAATTGCATGTAATTGTTGTCAAAGAAAAGAAAATGTTAGAAAATGAGTATCAAGAATCATATATTTTTTTTTATTTATGGAATGTGCTCTTATCTTTCAGCTGAATTGCCTTACATATAATTCAGTTATAATTTTTATCTTTTTTTTTATAAATAGACAGACATTATAGCATGAACTTGTACAATTATTCTCTCAGATTCATGTTGTAGATTGATGTGATCAGAGCTATGAGACTTTCACACTTGCTCAGTGAGATTAACTATTAAATGAGAACACATTGTGTAAGTCTAACACTCTTTTAATGTTGAGCTTGAATTGTCAGTAAACGATGAACAAAATGATTAATAGATTATGGTGCAGTGGAATGTAAGTTTGGTCAAGCCAATGAATTAGAAATTAAGCATTTGGTGACTTCATGATTTATAAGGTTCTGTACAGGACTTTGGTTGATTAATTTTTTTGTTTTTAAACATTTAAAAACCTATTTATTATATTAATGTAATTTACTTATCTTAATCACAGTATTATTCTATGATTCTGTACAGAAAGACGGCAGATTCCCCAAAATTAAATAAATTCAAGATTACATGACTCATGGGTTTTAAAGCAACTTTGACTGACCCAGGAAATTCATTAAAGCTTGATTTTAATGTATTGTAGAGAAAATATGTGTACTTACATAGCAATTTATATATGTTTATTTTTTCTTCCATTAAATCTTACAACATGGCAATTTAATTAACTACTTGTAACAGTGCATCAGTTAAATTTTTAAAAAGATATGCAAGCACTAGAAATGAATACTGAAAACCAATTTTTATTAGCATGTGAGAAATATCCACAGGTGTTGCAACCATTTTCTCACAATTTTTTCTTGATGCAAAGTTCTTAATTTCTTATTTAGATAAAATGTTTTCTTAATTGGAGTTGTCATGGATGGATTTCAAATTGATTGATTATGAATAAAAAATGTTGCAAATAATAGCTGGTTTACAATACCCCATCATGCTTTAAGAAAAGCAAAGGAAATCTAATTTGAGCAGGACTATGGCAGTGCTTTATGAAATTTGAACATTGATCCACAAAGCCTTCAATTAAAAAAAATCTGAAGCATTAAAAAAATGCACTGTGAAAAACAAATCTACACTACATATACCCACTAACTTTCTTCTTCACAAAATCCAAAGCAAGCAAGCTGTCATCACAAATTTTTTCATTCATACAAAATTGCATTGTTTGTTTTAACTATATTGCTTAATCTGTCAAAAAAACCCATCATGGTGACATTCAAGTCTGTACCAAAATGGACTGAATACTCTATTCTAATACAAAACAAATCTGGTCAACACAAAAGAAAGTAAAAACGAATCGTGAGTTCTGACAATATGGCGGAGCTGTAAGCTTTAGGAGACAGACTTTTTCACCTTGGACACAACATTGCCTCTTCAGTCTGGTCTAAATATAGGAACCTTGGGGATAAATTCTATTAAAAGAACCTGAAAATAAAACAGACCTGGGTCAAAGGTCATAGGTCAGAGGATTGAACTAACATTTTCTTCACGTACTGCATGATAAATGTAAAAATGGCAATTTATTTTAGAAAGTCTTTCAGGTGGTAAAACTTGCTAGTATTATAAAATATATAAGATAATGAACTCCTTTATGCACACTATTTCAAATTACATCATTTAGTAAAACAGTGAGATGAAATAACTGCTGTATAAGTTTGTTTTATAAATTCACCATAAAACATACTTACATATTCCATCATACTACTAGAGTCACAACGTTGTTTACTTAACCTCCAATGTAGTCCAAGCTGCAAGGCAATACATTACAATATACTAATGAATAAGCTTTACATGTATGTTCATGTTTCAAACTACTTGCTTCTTTCATGCATGAGTACCTAGGAAAAAACTCTTATCTGAAATTGTAAGTCAATTGCAGAAAAGGTAAAAGTTGAGACTGGAGTTCTTGTACATGCAAACTCTTGAAAATCATAGGCCTTCAGTTTGATCAATTAACGAGGCCCGATCTAGTTGAAAATTACGAAAATGGAATGATAAAAAATTTTAATTCTTGGAAATATACTTGTATGTTTTATGCTTAGAAAAATTAGAATGAAATTTTGTTACCTTGCCTTTATTGTAGTGAAATGGGGGCACTGTCAAGATATGGACCATTGTTCGTGTTTTTATACACAATTACATGTACATGCTAAAACTATTCAATAAACAAAGAAATTTACAAATTTAAAAAAGAATACATGATGAAATTCTTTGTTTTTCACATATATCATGCAATTTTCATTCTTCTTATAAAAAATGAAAAGAAAATTGGAGGTAGCCTTTATTGCAGTGAAAAGGGGGCATGTCAAAACACAAAATTTGGATTTATTCTATCCAACTTCGTATTTTATAGGTCGCAATGGGTTTACATAACGCCAACAAACGATTCCAATAATGTATTAGTTTCTAAAAAAAATAAATAATTCTTACATTATGAAATAATTTTCTTGCCATGCTTTATTTTTCTCTTAACACGCGACGTTGTTTTACGTGGAAAAAAGGGGTAGAGGGAGGGGGAGGGGGTAAGGGCGACAAAATTGCAATTTTTACTAATATCATGTAATATTTAGAAAAATAAAATATTTCGGCGGTTCAATTTAAATGATTTATAGACTTATTTTACTTTTTAAAACTGAAGATAATCCATGCATATTTAAGTCCGCAATAAAAAGAGTGTGTATAAACACTTCAACATGTTCAAAGAGAAAGACTAAAGTCGTTTACTTTTAGTTGCAGTGTTTGTTTTTTAATCTCACAAACTGAAATAAAACAGAATAAAATTAATGAATCTGTACCAAAAAAATCCCTCAAAATTAATTAGGTTCCAAAGTTGTTTATTAATTTGAATATTTAAAAAAAAATAATAGAAATGCCAGCTTTCAATGCATATTCTATAGAGCTATCAGATAAGCAAGATCAGCGAAACATTTTAGCACAATTTGACGTCATTTTAACTGTGACTTTATTGTGTTCAATTGTGACGGCAGTCAAGGGTATTGTGACATGTCTGAGTCGACGCTGCATTAAAACGTATGCACAGATCAAGTAGATCGGGCCTCGTTAAGGTGAAATCTGGGTTTCATTTGCACATATTGAAACATGTCATAAAAACTGGTAATAAAAATAAAATTATCAACAAAAAGTTATCTTCACCTACCTTTTGATATAAATGGTTATTCTCCCAATCTAATATTTTTTCTATGGCATGTTTTGTCTACAAAAAGGAAAAAAAGATTGCAAATATGTCAGAAAGTCTTGTACTTTTCATTAAACAATTCTAATTTATATGATATACAAAATAACAATCCTCCAGACTGGGTACATGTATATATTAAATACAAAAGTCTGTAGGGTGAAAGGTAATTTTAGATATTGTTCCTCATGAATGCGTTCACTAACAGACAGACAGACAGCTCATGTGATGACAAAACATGACACATCATGATGCAGGGGCTTACCAGGTAATTAAATTAGAAAATATTTGACAAAAAAAAAACAATGGCAAAAGAGCATATCAATAAGTCAACACAGCATTTTACATCAATTCCTGCACAAATTACATCAATTTTGTTTAAAATGCACATGAGGACAAATTAACCACCAACCCACACAAGTAGATTGCTTTATTCCCTCCAACTCTGTTGGAATGGGAAAAAAACTTTTTTTCACAATCCAGTGAATGTTAATGTAACCTTTTCCTGGGATATGAATTAACATCATTACTAAATGGCCATAGATTGGACATGTTCACCTGAAAAGACCCCTGGCCAATTAACAACAAGAACAGCTTTGCATTGGACCCCAAAGGGCAAAAGAGAGGGGGGCCTAGAACATCATAATGAAGGACAATTGTTTCAAGCAAGATGAAAGACATGCACCAGACCTGGGAATCATTGATGAGGCTGGCCCAGGATAGACAAGAATGGATGAAGTTTGTTGCTGCGCTACACACAGCAGGGTGTAAACTGTAAAGGACTAGGAAGATGAAAACATGATACTTACCCTCTTACTGAGACAGACAACTGGCCACATGGAGCAACCTAGAGTACAGCAACAGCATATACAGCCACAGAACAGCCACTTGATGTTGACGGGGAGGGCCTTCTTCAGCATGCTATTGAGACGAGATATCGTAGCCTTGTATTCCTCAGGAGCTACCTGTAATACAAAATTAAAAAGTGCATTTCTTAATCAGAATATGTAATCCACATCAGAGATAAATATGTTGATTTTGATGTACTTAAAAAAGGTTAAAGGCAATGGAAAACTCAATGGATTTACAAATGTGTTAATTATAACTTTAGAAACATGATTATTAAGAGGGGAAATTTTTATCAGATTTTTTATTTCAAATCATTTTTATGTCAATGATTAAGATTAATATCAACTCCTATGGTGGTAGTTTAAAAATATAATTATTTTTTAGTATTATTATTAGTATACATGTATATGTACCCATGGCAAAATGAATCAATGGGAAATAAGTTTCTAAACTGAAGTCAAAAAAACATGTATGGAATTTTAAAGAAAAATACCTTTGCTGCCAGACCAGAAGGGAACTCCGTGTCAAATCGGTTGCTGAGGCCAAATCTTAAAAAAAAAAAAAAATTTCATTTTATAGTTTATGCATAGAACAATGTATTGACAAGTGATTAAGCTGAAGAGGAATGGACTAGCTCACTGTATATCCCTGATTAATCTTTTGATTCAAACAAGACTTTTTTGCCTTTGTTTAAGAATATATATTGTTTTATCATGATTATTTGATGGATATTAATTCTGGAAGTCTTTCCCTCTGTCACATGTTCAGTGTAATCTTCCTGCTTTCTATGTAAACAAAGGAAAAGTAAACTGGATTAGAAAAAATAATCCATCCTACTCTTAAAAACAATGTAAATTCAATAAAATAAGCCTTATGCCTTTCTTGCATTTCAATAAAGCATTAATATTAACAATTTAAACCTCAGATTGATTAAGTGTTAATGATTGCAAATTGTTATTTTACCTATCTGTCAATAATAACAAAATAAAATCCCCTGATTTCTTACATTGTGACATTTCCAGCGCCTCTAATTATAATGGGGTCGGGTAAATTTATTGAGTAGTCTGGAGTTGATGCTGATTCTGACTGATCATCGTCCCCTTCTTCGTATATTATGTCAAACGGATCATGGTCTGCCATTGTTGTTTTGCTCCGATAGAAATATGAGTTGATGACGCAAACATGAAAGAGCGTGAAAGTTACGGGAGATAACTTGTATACAAAGTTTATCGGAAGAATTTACACCATTCTTTTCATTTATTTAGTAAAAGAGCAACATAGTTGAGTTTTTCACAACAGTGTCACAATTACATTTCACTTATTACTCAATAGAAACCAAAATTATAGTTTTGCTATTATTTTGAATACGAATACATTTATGTAAGAGTTACTTGATTTACATTCAATATGGCTGCGCCCATAAAAATTTGCACTTTGAGGTCTTGTGCAATTTATTCAACAATCAAAAGATGTCCAAAACATACTCATCTATACAAACACTGCAGGTATGGCATTCCCATTACCCCAAATAGTAAAATTGTGTTGACACATCATTTAAATAAGTTGCATCTACTTTTTCATCATTCACAAATATTGATAAAACATATAAAATTGTGTTGACACATCATTTAAATAAGTTGCATCTACTTTTTCATCATTCACAAATATTGATAAAACATATAATGGTTCAATTTTGTTTGTATTTGCATGTATTTTATTTTAAAGACAAAGCAGCACTCAAGAAAACCTGAAAGGTGTGATCGGTTTAGAAATCCATGCACAGATCAACACCAAATGTAAACTATTTTCAGCCTCCTCTACTGCTTTTGGGGCCCCTACCAACTCACAAGTATCCATATTTGATGCTGCACTGCCAGGGACATTACCAGTAAATTATTTTATTTAAAATATAAACATGTGTAACAGCAGATAAAGAATGCAAAGGGTCATACTGGGATTTGAACGTGGACCCAACAAATTTCCAGCCAGGTGCTCTACCAACAGAGCTATCATGCCATCAGCGATTTAACCCATCTGCCTGCGTTTCTCCCTCCTTTAAGATCTTTGTCGCAGTTGACACCAATCCAGAATCATACCTGGCAAGTCTTTCACCTGATGTTGTTACATTTGGTGTCATAACCTGGAAGTGACAAAAGACCTGCCAGGAAACAGCCTGCATGGATTTACATCTCTGGGGATGGAGACCTTTAAGGAGGGAGAAATGTGACAGTCAGATGGGTTATCGCCAGTGCCAGATAGCCCAGTTGGTACAGCACCTGACTGAGGATTCATGGGATAATGGTTTGAATGCCAGTCTGATCACATTTATATGGTTGACATGTTGCATCATAACTTAGAGAAAAATATTTGTTTGATGAATATTAACAAGAAATTATTAAGTGTAACATTTAGTGTAAGTACATGTACTAACTTTTCATTTATTCTTTAATCTCTATTAAAAATTCCTATTTTGCTTCTACAGGTATTAAACAGTGAGTGTGTAAGAGCTGGTGTGAAAACTGCAATTGCTTTAAAAAGCAAAATAAACAAAATATCCAAGTTTGACAGGAAGCATTACTTCTATGCAGATCTTCCAGTAAGTAAAACATTTTTGATATGTCTTTTACTCTCCCACCTTAAATGTTTTACAAACTTTAACAACAGCTATTGCCTAAATTGCCATATTTCTTCTTTAAAATCTTGGTCTTTAAATCTTTTGATAGCAAGGCTACCAAATAACACAACAAAGACAGCCTTTGGCTGTTGGAGGGGAAGTTGAGTATATTTTGATTGATGAGCAAAACAGATACATTCTTAAAACTGCCAGGATCACCCAGTTACAGCTGGAACAAGACAGTGGGCGGAGCCTGCATGATGAAGAGGGCGGGCAAAGTTTGATTGACCTCAACAGAGCAGGTGAGATATAGACTTGTTGAAAATCAAAGATAATTTAATGATTAAAAAGCAACTTTACGCTCCTGTATTTTGTTGTGTCGCCTGACAGCAACGTAACGAAATACAGGAGCGTAAAGGATCTTATTTTGATTAGATTGATTTTAAGTCTTTGAAGGCTGTCTCACTTTTAATGTATATATATTATAATTCACACATGCATGCATGTCTTGAAACATCAAAGCACAGTAATACATGTCTGATGAAGCAAGCATGCTTATAATTAATTCACCCCTAGAGTGAAACAATATTCAGTGAAAATATTCAGTAGCTGTGATTTTGAAAATGATACTGTGAACAATATAATGTAAATGTTTCTTTGTAATGTAAATGTTTTTATAAGATGAAATTTTGTAATTTTGGAAGAAAGCATCATAGTTTCCTTGGGCTTAAATTTTCCAATTTTCAGGAATTGGATTGATGGAAATAGTCACTGAACCAGATTTCATAAATGGAATTGATTGCAGTTCATTTGTTAGAGAAGTTCAGCTGATGATGAGACAACTTAAAGTCTGTCTTGGCAGTTTCAGAGGTCAGTTTAATAAGATGAGTTTTTATTAATTAAATAAAGAATTTATTTGAAAATCTCAATGTAAAATTGAATGTTACCTTGTTCTCTTTTCACAGAGGGTGCCTTGCGCATAGATGCCAACATATCAGTTCACCGTCCAGGAGAGCCATTTGGAGTTAGATCTGAAGTTAAGAATCTGGGCAGCCTCAAAGATCTTAAAAATGCTGTGGGTAAGTAAACATTAAAACACCTACCTTTTGATAATTATCACGTATCATTTAATTTGAATAAATCTTTTATTTGAAGAGCACTTTTTCAGCATTTCAATCAAACATAAGGATTATTTTTAATTTCAATTTTTGAATTTCTGATTTTGTAACTGTTGGTGCTATAAATGGCAATTTGTGTTTTCTTTCATTTTTTTAGATGGAAGAAGAAAGTGCATTTCAATTGATTTTTTTGTTAATTTGTAGATTATGAAGTAAATAGACAAAAACATTTGGTAAAAAATGGTGGAACAGTAATAAATGAAACTCGGACATTTGATTCTGAGTCTGGGTAAGATCACCGCTTCCTCTTTTCATATTGAAAAGGTTATTCAAAAACAATTTCTGTCAAAAAACCTCTATATTTCAAACTCGATGGAATTGAGAAAATACTCCAAAATATCAAATGATTCAAGATATCCAGGATAAAAATACTTTTTAAAAAATTGCTTGAGATTCCAATTCACTTCAACATATCCATGGCAGTATCAGTGTGTGAGATACCAACATTCAGCTGAATTTCAAGTAAATATAAATACTGAAATGTTTTGATTTCAGGAAGACAATCCCGATGAGAGACAAAGAGAGATTACAGGATTATAGATTTATGCCTGAGCCCAATTTACCTCCCCTTTATTTATACGATAATGTATCCATAGCTGAATCATCACAGGCAAATGTAACTAACGTAGATGAAGAGATTCAGAAAATGCCTCCTCTACCCAGAGATGTTAGAGAAAAGTTGATCAATGATTTTAATGTTGCACTCAGAGATGTCTATGTACTTGTGGTAATTGGATTTATTTCTAAAAAATGTACGCTCAAAAAATCTATTTTTATTTGTCTTCCACCAATGAACTTAAAATAAAAATGATATTATTTTGTTTTGTAGAATGAAGATAAAGGTGTAGAATTTTTCCATGAGGTTGTGAACTGTTCAAAAAGTCCACCAAATTTCGTAGCCAAATTCATAGTCAACGATTTATTAGGTATCTACAATGAACATGATCAAAAGATAAGAAGAAGGTAGGTGCATGTAATTAAAATTCAAATAAAAGAAATGAATTGAGAAATTGTTACACAGAATGGAACTTCTACCTTAACTGTTGTATAGTACTTATTCAATACTTTATGTTGATAAAAAATTCACTTTTCTTGCCTTTAAGTCCAATTTCACCAGATATAATAGCCGAGATTGTTGATCTAAAGAAAAGTGGATATACAACAAAGTCACATTGCCTTCAGGTAGGTCATGCGATGTTTATTAACATTTGAGTATTATTTGTACTGTAACAGCTTTTTCTATAGATGTACATGAGTTTTAGCTATGTCGTTTACATGTGCATATATCAAATGAAAGCTTCTTCAAATTCTTTTTAAGTTAGTAGAAATGTATCTACATCAGTCTACACCTGACAGACCTAAGGATATAGTGGATAGGAATGGTTGGCAGCAGATTATAGATGTAGAACTTCTCAGACCTGTCTGTATCCAGATTATAGAGGACAATCCCAATCAGGTTTGTAGGGGATGCATTAATTTTGCAAGTACAGTCAAACTTCATTATCTTGAACTCATTTGAACTGAGAAAAAAAAATTAGTATCCAGGGATTCTGGATATTGCTTGCTTGAGATTTTCAAATCAATTTGACTTGTCCATGGTATTCTAGAAATTGATGTTCGAGATACCAAAGTTCAGCTGTAAATGCATACTGAACTGTGGAACTTGTAAAACCACACTGGTTTATTTAATCACTTTACAGGGGGACCTTGTTTCCCGACAATTGAAAAAGACCTAAGGGGCACTTTTAGGGCAAGGGTGGTTAATAGGGAATCACCATAAAGAAAAAGTCCGATTTTCTGTCCATCTGTCTGTCTGAAATTCTGTCTGTCTGAAGTTCAGCTGTAAATGTATTTGACCGGACCATTACTCAGAAACTATTGGAAGGATTTGTCTGAAAATTTGTACACATATTATCCACCATATGAAGTTGTGCACCTGATATTTTCATCTTGATTCGATTATTATTTTGAATTTTACAGGTGTTTTTTCATTTTTATTTTGTGGTTTTGTAAACAGGACAGAGCAATGCCTTTTTTGTGGCAGAAACTATTGCAAGGATTAATCTGAAAATTTGTACACTTATTATTCACCATATGAAGGTGTGCACCTGGAATTTTCAACTCTGAAAAATTTTGTTAATTTTTTTGCATTTTACAGGTTTTATTTTTTATTTTAATTGACACAGTTCATTTTGGGCTCATGTATAAGGTTTGAGATATAGAATCTAGAATATCTGTTCAAAAATACTACAGCTTAAAACTGTGTCATAAAAACTTTAAAAAAAGAAACATCATCAAGTGTTAAAAACAGTTTTTACATTGCACAGAAGATAATGTAATTTCATTTGTCTCTTGGGAATAATGCCAAACACACTGGACATGCATCCAGTTAAAGATAAATTAATGAGTTTGGTGTTGGAAGTTGTTAAGGCATATCTACACACTTATCAAGCGTGTGTGTGTTATCTAATCTCCAGGGAATAAGGCTCATATAATATATATAGAAAAAAATCTCTCTTCTCTTATTCTCTTAATTGTAATTTATTGTCTGTCAAAGCACTTCATTACTGGATGACCAGCTCTTTATTTTCAAGATGCATTTCAAATTGCTATATCAAGATTAATTTGATTTTGTATAATGGTTTTTTTTTAACAATCAGTTTGCAGAGTGACATAACACATAATTGCAATTTATTTTTTTAATGCAGAAATAAAAAAAAAATAAAATGAAAAAATAAAAAAAATTGTTACAATGGAATTACAATGCATTGTATTGATGTTTCATTTGGTTGCACCTTTGTTTCATTCATTAAGAAACATGATGAGCAATTATATTTCACTGCAAATTTTTGTAAGTAAATTGTGAACACCTCTAGATCCATAAAGTATTTTTGAATTGGCACCTTCTCTGAAAAACCCAGCGGGGGGTATTTGTCCCTATTGGACAGTTCTAGTTTATAGTTGGAATGCCACAGGAAATTTCTCAACTTATATCTCAAATACGATTTGAATGAAAAACCATTTATGGACATCTGAGTTTAAGACATTGAATTTATAAAATTTGTTCCATCAAATCTCTTAGATATATTTCTGTAATTCCAATAAGTGTTTAGATACCAAATTAAAATTTCTAGTCAGTGAATGATATTGCAGATGCTTCTTATTTTTCTTATCACAGGTTAAAAAATACTGCAAAGGGAAACAGGACAGAGCAATGCACTTTTTTGTGGCAAGAGCGATGGACTCAACTCAGAAGAAGGGAAATCCTGCAGTGTTGAAAAGTCTATTCATAGAACTTTTAGAAGATATTAAATTAAAACAAAAATAACAACACGTACATGAAAGTTTTTTTTCTTCTTTTATTCAAATTCCTGCTAAATCTGCAAGTGTGAAAAGTGAAATATACTCATTACTGAAAAATCTTTTTTAAATTGTTTATTTTTGTAAATTGTGTAAATTCCTGGTCTAATGGATTTGATTTCTTGGTTAAAAGGACACGTACTATAGTATGAAATTTTAACATTTCATGAATGATGTGAATTCGGTTGTCTTTATACCACAAAAGCAAGGAAAAATTACCCCCCCCCCCCCCAAATGATTTCATAGTATATGTTGAAATGTTGAAGTTTCTGTCTGCATGCAATTTAAAGTCAGTCTATACAGTACAATAAATACTATTCATAAAGTTAAATGCGAAAAAGCACAATGTGCCAAGCACAAATATTATTGAGGAAGAGCGAAGCCTTTGGAGACAACAGGACCGTCCTTGTGTAGATAAACCGCTGGCCAGACACACTGTTGGACTACGGTCCCTTTCTTCCTGTAATGTTTAAAAGAGGAAGTGTCTAACTTTTCCCCAGGGGTGGGGTACCTTAAATCCATAGGAGGGTCCTGAACAGACATCAGCCAGATGATTTCTACACACTTGTCTATAAAGATTTCTATTGGAGTTGCCAGTGTTATATTAGTGAAGTGTTCCTTGTAAACATAATCTTTAAACATCTACAGAAAAAAATATTTTAAAATGTACAATGTTTACTAATCTTGATGACTCAATACCTGATCAATACTAGTATAAAAAAAATGACAGAAATTATTTCATATTAAAATGGCAAATTATGCTTACCACTCGTAAAGCAGGGATTGATGCTGTTGCACATGATTTTCTACAGTCTTTCATGAACTTTGATAGCTCAAAAAATGCTGTTTTGTCCTCAGAATTTCTGTGTACATACAAATCCTGATCCTTCAAAGGTTAATAAAAGTAATTTAAAATAAATAATAAATATTTTAAAGGGATGATGAGGATTCACACATCCCTGATAATTTTTTCCTGTCAAAATGATGTCTTTATGCATTTATTTATTACTTCCATATTTTAATAATACATGTACTTACCCCATTGTTACTTTGAACTTTCCATTTAATGTTTTGCATTGGAACCATACAATACGACTCCAATCTATCCAACTGTTGTGGAGCAAAATCACAACAAAACTCGTGTACTTTCTTGAGAAAAAAAACATACATAATTTAGAATTTGTTAATGTGTACACACTTTATATTTTGATTCGACTATATTGTGACAAGAAGTCAAGAAAGGGGAAGGGGGGGGGGGGGTAGTGGCCAACTTTTTTCAAGGCCAACTTCCTTTCACCTACCAATTTTTTCTTATATTTCCTTGCTATAAATATACTAAGGTAAAAATTAGGGGGGGGGGAACTATCTATTCAATGGACATTTCCTATAGTAAAGGTGATGTTAAGGAAAAAAAGTGGGGGGTGCCTGACACCCCCCCCCCCCCATTGCTAGTGCCTGCAGAATGAACATTGTTTGCAAAAAATCAAAACTTCTCATAATTCAAATACTAATAAATAAGCCTTCTTACCATAAGGCATAAGTATCAATTTATTTTGACACCTTTGAATGTAATAAATATCAGCTCTTAAATTAATAATTTAATTATTCGGAACTGATCAAAATTCGGAACTGGCCAAAAGACTGTAATTGTTATTTTTAAAATATGATCCAAGAATTCGGAATTCATAATACCTGAGTAATATCAACCAAAATCTGTACTACTTTATCTTCGTCTTTGAGGGTACTTTTCAGAATCTCGAAAGCATCCGACCATTCATTGTCGTACAGCTGTTCAAACTTTTCTCCTAGTTTTGTCGGTCGATTTTTGTCGCTTAAATCGGCTATATTCGGGTTACCATCCTTGAGTTGTTTACTTACATAACTGCTCAATCTGAAATAAGAAATCTTCAGAATATTATAATACTTTAATCATACAAATTTGTAATATGGTTGTAAAAATGTGAAACTTCTTCCAACTATCTCCTTTTTACGTCACCAAAAATCATCAAAACGGAACACAATGCAAACTTAACCTTAACTCATCATGGTACACTCACAAAAATCAGGGAATATCTGCAAGGATTTAGAAAGGGTGTGGAAAACTACCTAAGTTGGGCAGACTGACAGATAGCTGTAGAACTGTAACTTTATGGTTTTATTACTTCTTAGTGTTTGACCATGGACAACTGATAGACAAATGAAGGGACAGCTAAAAAGACTTCAACGAGATAGAAACCTATGGTCCCTCTAGATTTAGAGATTCGGAGTAAAAAGGTTAGTGACGATGTAAAAACCTACAAAATACTTTGATCTTTTATTTTTCATACCTTGTCGTCAGTTCTTCTACTTTAGCCTTATTCATTTTCTCAGATTCCACCAATCGTTTGTACTCCAGAGCAGACACAGTGATCGTGCCGTCTGCCCGAGTAGGAGAACTGGATCTTTTCTGGTGACTGTCGTCTGCTGACTTCGTACTCACTGGTCCTGCGAAAGTCTTTGAAAACTCTTGCTTCTGTGCTGAATTCCCCGACGGTAAAGTTTGAGCGAAATGCTAAAACAACAATTTATATTAATAATTAAGAAAGATTACTGTCAGCAATATCAGGTCCGTACAACTCTGGGGAGGGGGAGGTGGCTCCCTCTTTCTTAGCATGCTAGAAATATAAATTATTTTGCCGTATAATAGTAGATTTCCTTTTAAAAAAGAGGCCTCTTTTTCATTGCTGTGAGTTCGAGCACTGACAAATTCCAGGATTTGGACAGTTAATGAGGTTTTTTTCTTCCCTCTGCCCTCATTTCTCGGATTTTTTTTGGGGGGGGGGGTCTTTCCACTTTTGAAAGCGTTGCTACGGGCCCTTGATAACTCTTTATGATTTTAGAATCGTATAGATAAATCTTAAATATATATAGGAAATTACTTCTGTATGCAATATATTTTACATTCATTTACTTCTATTTTGTTTTGCGTGACCAAACACATCTTGAGATGAGATGTTTACGGGTTTCAGGTTTGGGAATATCCTCCCTCCGTCTCTTGAAACTCCATAGGATACTAAAACAAGCAAACACACACAAAAAAAACAATGTATAAAAAAAAAAAAAAAACATCATGATAATCTTACTTTGGGTCCCTGCTGATGCTCTTGGCCTGTTCTGCTTTGCAGTAAACTTTCAAACTCGACACGTGCTTCTTTAGAACCCGCGATGTCATAAGTTTCTGCCATTTTAACAACCTCCTCTAGCTCCTTATACTTTTCCTTTAACCTGGGTACACCATTCTAAAATTAATAAAAATGGAAACTATATTTTTAAAATATCTAGGAATTTTTGCTTGGCAGTCCCCATCCAAATCGAATTTTTTTTTATTGTGTCACCATCTCTAAACTGAAATTGCTGTCTACGGGCCTGTTACTTGATTAAATTTTTATGGAAGTTTCTGTCAAACTTATTCAGCAATTTGTCCTTTATTTAATATTTAGCGAGATTTTGTGCGAGCGATTTAAAAATGCTCACTAAAGAAGCTATACTTTTTTGCGATGTTCAATTTTAGCGATCTCAGCACCCTCGATCGCTAATAATGTCAAGATTAAATCCTTGCTTAAATTCTCCTAATATACGATATTTATTTAATACTTACTGATTTCAGTGACTTATACTGTTCCTGGGCTTTCCTCTTGCAATCCCCCGAAAGTGAAAGCTCCTTGCTTACTCTTTGCACCAGATCTTCCAGGTTGTGTATTTGTTCATTACGATGACTTGACATTCTGGCTAGTTTCAGGTACACACATTGTAATTGCACATAACTGTACGTAGATAAAGAAGTTGTTTCGAACGTTTTTTTAATATATTTTCGGTGCTAACATACCTGAAAGCGAAAGAAACATTACAATCTGTTTGCTCAAAAACAGGTTAATGCGTATATGTTCATTGCGTATATGTTCGTTGATCTTAGAAAAGCATTTGACACTGTATGGAGATTAGGTTTATTTTATAAACTTCTTGAATGTAATATTTCCCAAAAAATGTTCAATATTTTATTTTCAATGTATAGTAATACAATGAGTAGAATCAAATTTTCTGATGGATTAAGTGATGTATTCAATTCTGAGTGTGGTGTCAAACAAGGGGATGTTTAAGCCCCACACTTTTTAATGTTTTTATTGATGGTATTGTCCATGACTTAAAAAATGGAAATTGTGATCCTGTACAAGTAAACAATATGCATGTAAATTGTCTGTTATATGCTGATGATACTGTAATCTTCTCAGAAAGCAAAAGCGGTTTACAAACCAGTCTTGATATTCTCAGTAACTATTGCTCAAATTGGAAACTCCAAGTTAATGTAGATAAATCTAAAGTTATGATATTTAACTCAAATGGCAAGCCTCAAGGAAATGAATTTAGTTTTAATGGTAATGCAATACAAATTGTACCAAGATACTGTTATTTAGGTATTATGATGAAATGTAATAGGAAGTTTAATTTAGCAACAGCTGTGCTTATTGAAAAGGCCAGAAAAGCATGTTTTAAAATGAAAAGAATTATTGGATTTGATAACCCATGTAAACTTTTAGAAAAACTCTTTGATGCTATTGTACTTCCAGTTCTTCTCTATTGTAGTGAAATATGGGGAGTGGATCTCTCATCCAAAGATATTTCAAATGTTGAAAATTTTCACTTGAAATTCATTAAAGACATCCTTGGAGTGCACTGCAAAACATCCAATGCTGGTTGTTTAGCAGAACTTAAAAGACTACCACTTTGGTCCAAAATTTCCCTCTCAAGTATCAAATATTGGAATCACCTGAAAACTTCTGATTCTTTGGCCTTTAAACTTTACCAATCCACAATTAACTGTAATTCTTGGACTAAGAAATTATTTTCTATTCTTGATAATCTTGGATTCTCTAACATTACAAAATATACAGGTTCCATCCAACACCTTTTACCAAACATTAAACAAAGAATCATAGATCAGTGCACTCAAGAGCAAACATCAAAAATCTTTGGTTCAGAAAAACTTGATCTTTTCAAGAAAGTATACTCAGGAAAAAGAAGTCCTTATGTTGATTTACTCAAAAAAAGATCTGAGAGATCCTCTCTTAGTAAAATTAGACTAAGCGCACATAAACTTGCAATAGAAAGTGGTAGATATATTTCCACATCAAGAAATGAAAGATATTGTAATGTTTGTAATACTGGTGTGATTGAGGATGAAATACATTTTCTTTTTCACTGTAATTCTTACTCTAAGCTAAGAAACGCATTCTTTAGTAATATTTATAACATAACAAAGAAAAATATTAATCTTAGCAATGAGAAATATATGCTACAATTATGTATAAACAGTAATATACAAAAAGTCTTGAAAGTTACTGTTAAATTTATCAGAGACTGTTTTGATCTTAGAAGTCAATTACTTGACAATTCTTGAAAAAATATGTAAACATTATTTAATGTTGTTCAGTGGGCCTTTGCCAATTATTGTAATTGTGTTTGTGCCAATAAAGTATTTGTATTTGTATTTGTATTTGTATATCAATACGCCCCCTCTCTCACTCATTGCCAGTTACATCAGTGAATTCCAACATCATGTATCCTACTAAAGAGAAGTTGTTTTCTCTCTCTAGTTTTCTCCCTTTGGCCACAGGCCTTCACAGTCGCTTTGATATGACTGACATGTAATAAATATTCTATTTTTTAAAAATATATATATACGTCGGTCAGATCAAAGCTATTTGAAGGCCTGTGTATGCATTGAATTGAATGTTTTACTTTCTACTTATTGCCAAGGGGTTTTTTATCACAAGGGCGGGGGGGGGGGGTAGGATGACTTAATTAAATGATATTGGACTGGAAAACTGCTCTTGGAATCTATATTTATAGCGTTCAAAGAAAAAGGACCTTTTATCATCCCCATCGGTAAATGTGTTTAAATTAAAGTGAAAGTTATCTACTAAAATTAAACTGTAGATGCACATTTGGTTATTTAGTTTCAACCAGTTTCTTTAATATATATATAATAACAGATTTGGCATCCCTTGCTAATATACTCATGTTCCAATGAAAGCTTTTTTGACATTATTTACTCACCTAAAACCGGTTATCTCGACATCTTATTTAGGTATATTTACAACATGCATGTAGAATAAAAGAGATATCTATAGTCATACTTAATGTATGTCAATCATAATCTTAAGTATATATAATTATATACACCTTTATAGCAAGTTTGAGGGTTGAAATAAAAGATTACAATCATATCTTACCTTTATTTTTGTCTGATGTAGAAGGTAAATCTATGAAATACCGTTCGTGCTATAAACAAGGAAGGCCGGTAAATTTAAAGGGTACAATATATCCATGTATGGTCTGTAAGATTGCCTGACTGTGTACAGGTAGGCCTAGTTTACGTTTTAAACATGTTTCTTAATTTAAAAAAAAACTTATAATAGAATGGAGATTTCTTTTATCAATTAAAAAAGGCTGCCAGCATTTTTTTCTGTTTCGTAATTCACAAATTCTATTGATAAAAATGTTCAAAAGAAAATACTCTGTAACTTAATGGAGATAAACACCCAAATCACAATGATATACATGTATACATGTATATAGTTTTAGAGAGGTGGAATGCTTAACACAAAAACACTAATCTATCAAGGATAGATGCATGTCAAAAATTATTTTATAAAGAGCTCTTTATGACTGAAGCAAATTTTTGAAGTAAGAAAATTATACTGTACGAAGATTAACTGAATTTTTCTGTTTCAGTTTTCAACAAAGGGTATGGACCAGCTAGCATTTATATCCTTAAAAAAGGACAAAGGAATATAGATTACATTAATTAACTGTTTGACTGACGTATATGAAGAGAAAAAAAATCCAAATTTTTAGAACATTTTAAGTTCTCAGAGGAGATGAAGAAATTAAATCTATCCTTAAAATGTAAATTAATGCTATTTTGTTTCAATACTCATTTATTTATTTACTGATTTATTTAGTCACCCATTTCTTTCCTTTATTTATTTTTATCCTAGAAAATATTAAATATAATTGTGCAATAATTAATTTTCAATGTTGTTTTATGAACTAATAATTAATCGGTATTTCTAACAAAACAAAACAAAAAAAAATTAACTATTAAAATAAAAATCAACCACGATGCTGATTGAGTTGAAAAAATGAAAAATGATCCAATTTCAAGCGATTTATTTGTTTAGAATGGATCGAGGTCTAACTTAATTTTTTTTAATTACGCCTATGATATCCAGAGAGAGAGAGAGAGAGAGAGAGAGAGAGAGAGAGAGAGAGAGAGAGAGAGAGAGATAGAGAGAGGTTCCCTTCTTTCAAAACCGATAGTAAAACAAACACCAAAACAAAATAACATCCATCTCGACTAGGTTTATGATAATTTAATGCATGCATTCTCTCTTTTGAAATCCCTCGATAATCGATGACCTTAACCTACTTACATGTAAACATAAATTTTGCTCGACGGAACTTCAAAGGAATACACAGGGCTCATCAAAGAGGCAGGGTAAGACAGTTTGCAAAGAACAGTAAGGTGTAGAACTCGTGCATTTATTACAGTAAATGAAAAATATTATCTGTTTTACTTGCTTGATGTATATAATTGTCACCAAGATGCAAATATTATACAGCAGTTTTCCAAACCGAAAGTAGAAATGTTGTGTCGTTATATAAATGATCGGATTGAGTTCATAGTCAGCTAATGTAAACACGTATATGCATATTTTTATTATTATTACATTTATAAATATATGTATATACTCTATATTCATTAAAAACTTCAAATGTCGTGCATGCACGTGCGTTAAAAATCTCAGTTTATCATATGCATACGCATCCGTAGTTTTTGTCAAATATACAAGAAAGCTTTGTTCCTTATGATATAAATTTCTCCTGTTTCGTCTTATAAGCTAAAGATCAAAATAAATCATTAACATGCCAGTTTCACAGTTAAAGATATAGACAGTTTTTGTCCATACCCGGTATGTTGATTTTTCCATCATGTTATTCATTAAAAAAAGTTTAATTTATGAAGGTCAACAATAAGACGAAAAAGTATTAGCGTGAATTAATCAAAATCATTTGAGAGAGGGAGATAGAGAGATTTAATTCATGTGAAAAATAAACAAATATGACTGCGATAAATAAGACCACGGAACATTTACTGGCAAAATTTAAAAGAAGCAACTTACATCATTTCTGCAACATTCAATGACAGACAATGAAATAGGCGAGTAAAATTAGACACGGACGTCCGAGAAAACATTGCATTGAAATCAATTTCGTTTCTCAGACGTCCGTGTTAAATTGTACCTGTCCATTTTATAACAAATGACTGTAACAGATGGAAATGACGTAAGCTGTATATTTCAAATTTTGCCAGTTAATGTTGTGAGATCTTATAAAATAGAAATGCATATTATAAATATTGCTTTAACTCTCAATGCCCGTTAAGCAACTGTAACAAAACATACTTTTGTTCAAAAACTTGATTAGTGGGTGAAAAAGCTTGTCTGGTTCATAGCATGTAAAAATAAATTCGTATGAAAACAAGAATGACCCATTGTGCTGTTTAATGACGTACACAATTTACTTTACAAACATCTTTTACTTATCAATCAGTGACTTTTAATGTTTATTAGTAATAATAATATAAATTTTGAGATATTTAAAATGCGTTAATTAGTGAAAGGCTAGTGTACACATGGCACACGACAGATATATAATTTTTTTTCAAGTTCACGATATTTTCCTTGCGCCGTATGCGACACTCCAGGGTTCAGAGTGCATAGTCTATGTTCTAACTAAATATTTATGATACAATGTAATACATGGTAACAACTTTTGAGTGATCCTAATAAACAATCAACAATTTCCTAGAACGTAATTGACATTACATAATTGTTATGAAATTAAAAAAAAATTACAAAAATTTATTTGACTAATGCAGGCTGACATGGATAACTTCGGGGAAGTTCCTTTACATTTTGTGCGTTAAAACTCGAGATAAATGATTTCATAACCTTTTGATATTTTTTTTTTACTTTCAAATACAGGATATAATAAAAGATATCCTTTTACCTTAAATGATTTTTTACGTACACATTTTGAAGAAAAAAAAAATCCACTAAATACACAGCTATTTTCCCATTTACTAAATCATGCATTTACGTATAAACTTGTTTTAACAATTATGTTACACACAAAATGACGTCCCTATCAATATTTCTTGTATATCTTTTATCCATGTGGGTATTTATAAATATATATATGAAAAACCCAACTTTTTTCCTGTCTGAAAGTCATCCCTATAAGTATATCACGATTTCCGGGTTACATGTCATTTACTTATATTGTTGTTTATTATATGGAGCAATAATAAAATCATGGAAGTTTCCTTCTTCCTCATTTTGTACTATAAAAACCATTCCAAGAGCAAAGCTAGGAAATTGAATATCGGATGGCGATGTGAGATAGATATGAAAGGCAAATGGAAATGGAGGAATGGGTAAATTAGTAACGGCACGTATCGCTTCTGCACCTGTTGTCGCGGGCGATCGACAAGTGTCACCCTCTTTTGCAGAAACATGAAACTAAAAGGCTTTAATTTTTTTCTGCATATTTGTCACCGACGACAATATTTTATCGAATGGCCAACAATGTGCATTGCAATTTGCTCATAGATAATGTCGGCGGGGATAATACGTGCCAGAGCGACAATATATGTGCCGTTACAGTCAGAAGCTAACTTTGTAGCTTTTATTAGTACCCATAATACTAACCGTTATGGATTGGTGAAGGGGATGTATTTAATGTAAAGATAATTTTCTTATTAATTGGATAAATTAATTTAAACAAGCAAAAATTCTATGCATTCTCTATAACCGTTCTCTCCCAAAGCTGTATATGGTTGGTAAGATCTTACTGTCCGAAAATTGAAGTTTTAAAATATACCGGAATTCTCAAGATGAGAGAGAAATCCATTTCAACATGTTCCTCGTCTTATGAAAATTGATGTGATTCTATTTTCCTATACATCTAACTAAAGTTTTGTCCCCTGATAAACTTGAGATCTATACGCAGGAGTAGTAAACTACAATCGAATCATTTCACTTTACTTGTAGATGAGTCGGCCTGGGTCTTACATCAGCAGGTATCAGAACATCAAAATACTGTTAGATACATCCAAAGAAGACAAGGCGACAAGGAATGAAGGCTACAAACAGTTGAAAGAACTGGAAGATAGAGCCCTCGAATATCAGCGGGAGTCCAGGGTATATAATTATGATATTCCTTAAAATTGGCTTAAAAATGGAGAAAATCAAAGAAATTTGTGCAATTTTAGCATAAACTGACAAAATTCAAGAGAAATTTCCATTCTCGCCATATGCAGTATAATGCAGCCTTATTGCGATTTGAATTCATGAAAAAGTCCATCGGTTTTCAATGTTTGACTTGCATATACTATTTATTATATGACATTACGATTTTGTCTGTACTCTATTTCCTCTGTGTTTTATTTTTCAGAACATGGACAGTCTGAACGTGTCGGAGTCTTATATGGCCGAGGCACGTGAGAAGTTCCAGACCCTCAGTCAGCTGATAGTCCACGGTCATAACGTGTTCGACCACGCCCTGGACGAATTCAAAACCCTTATACTGCTGTACGCGGCTCAGAGCAAACGTCATGGCGAGGTAACGGCAACCCCTTCTGTAATTTTTTTTTTTCAAATTTAACATTATATTCATTTTTAAATAAAAATATCTAATAATACATGTTTTATGAATTTTTTAAGTTTCAGGTAACGAAATATAAATAGATATTGAAGGAATTATGTAATTCACATAGAACGTAAGAAATTTATGCTTGTTTTACAATGTTCTGGTGAGAAAGGATTATGACAGTGAAATAATTTGATCATTATCATTTTCAACATGTTTTGCTGCAATAATGTGGCCTTCTCAGCATACAGTAAATAGCCAGTACATTGTATTTTGGAAAATATATGCATGATAATTTTAATAAAAAGAATTTAATATTAAGGTAGGATTCTTCTCTGGTTTCTGACTAGATGGAATATTCAAAGTATATTTGCATATATGTCTTATATATTTAGGTATAAGGGATTTAAACGACCATATTTTTCTTTCCTATCACAATTGTGCAACTTTGAATAGAAATGGTAAAATGCGTTTGAAAACTAGCAGGGACTATATTTTTGGCGGAATGTTGGCGTATGAAATTTAATTATAATTTTTACACAATCAAAGACTTCAAGAAATTTTCAAATGTAATTTAAATTAATACTAAGGGACTAAACTTTCAAAATATATCAAATAAATATTATTTTTCAAACAAAGCAGAACTATATTAGCTTTTAAACGCTTCCAATCAAAGTACAGCTTTGAGCCAAAAATCCACAAAAAGGTATTTTTTTCTCTTAGTAAACGATCAAAACTTTTTGTTTTTGTATCATTTTGTACATTTATAAGACTACTTTATTATATGTGAAAATAAGAAAAAGTTAAATATAGGAAGCATATGAAAATAACTAATATATCCTAGAAAATTAAGAAAAACGGAGAAAATTCGGATTAGCCAATATCCAGTTTAGTTAAATGATTTATGTAAATTTGGTAATATCATGCTATAGACCCGATATAATTATATTTTTTTGTACAAAAAGAACAATCTTTAAACTTTTGAAATAGAAGTAGGCATCACATGATTGGCAACAGTATATTTTTTGTTCATAATGTCATGGGAAAAAGACGATGACCTTGACCTGACCTTGTCTATAATATAAAACGGTCAAATTAAATCTCACTGATACTATCACTCACTGATATTGTCTTCTTGCTTCTGTGAAAATTTCATTAATTTTTAAATACAATAAATATGAGAAGAATCCTATACCTGAAGTAAACATGATTCTGTATGTAATTACCAAGGTCTGATTGATATATGTACAGATGTATTAATTAAGGAACCACTGTCGAGTTAGTATAGTATGCCAGGCCATCAACGATAGTGGGAAACATTAGATAATTTGCATAACGGGCAAAGCCCGTTATGCATAAATTATCCCATACTTCCCACTATCGTTGATGTCCTGGCATACTATAATACTAACTAGACAGTGATTCCTTACATTTTCATTTCAATGTGAAATAAAATTGTAGATTTAGACTTTAAAAATGTAGACATAGTTTTAAATTACACGAGGACTCCCATTCCATTTTCAATAGTCCTCGTCCACTGACGTCAAACACAAAGGCAGCCGCACGAGATTTACATGCATATCTGGCCTCCTTAGCGTCAAACATAGAGACAGATGTGCACGAGATTTGCATGCATATTAGGCCTCCTTAGCTCCTGACCTATCGACCTGCCTAATTTACATTCCGGTAGAATTATCAAGAAATCAACTCCGCTAACTTTCAAAGAGTTATCACAGAGAAAAAAAAATTAGAAATGGAAATATATTTTGTTACATCTGTCATTTCTTTGTTTGATATTTACTTGCTTACTTGTTCAAGGCATATAGCTGCTTATCATCCCTGTGAATCTTTTATGTATTAAGAAAGCTTTTGCTGTGGTTTTGAATTCAACATATAAATATACCAGCATGGTTTTATCAATTAACAATCGTTATTTTCATTCGTATATTGACTCATAAGTTAGACAACACACTATCAGCCACATTTGTTTTATAATTTACCAGCTACATGTATATTCATTAATGCCCATGTTATTTATGACAAACATTACATTGCCAACTCCTCTGATTTACTTGTGTGCAGTAATATTACAATATCTTCTCCTTAAGGCTTTAATATCTTTCAAGAATTCAGTACGCAAAAACTTGTTCCAAGTCAATAACTTTTTAAACAGAGACAAGTTACTGTCAAATAAGTTGATATCACAAGGTTTTCAAAACCTCGTTTAAAGTCAGTGTTCTGCAAATTCTCCTTAAGGTCGATAAAATGATCTTGTGCAAAATTACACCCATCATTAGGTAGTGTTTTGACTGAAATATTTAAGGTATGATTTAATGAATCTAAATATCATAAAAAAATCTTACAATTACATAATTATTGATTTTTTACTCTATTACAAGAATTTTACAGTATTGAGTTGAATACTTAATAGAAGATGATTATATTTCTTTTTTTAGATTGTTGTTATAAGATTATTTGTTTTGAAGTATGACAAGTGTTTAGCTATAAAAAAGACAAAAATATACATATAATGTAGAAGTACTGAAAATAATACTACAAAGCCTAAATTTTATATACCCAACAAATTGTCAAAAAGCTGGTGTTTTATACAAAAGTTGTACACACATCAGTGTTCAAAAATATTCTGTAAATTAAATGATTTTTTTCCAAAAATTTCTTGAGCTTGGCGATTGTTCTTTCCAAACAATAATTAAATGAATACCCCAGTTATATGTCAAAATTACATGTAAACACTAAGAAAAGAGGCCCTTTACTGGTACAAGAACCTCAGAGATTTTCTCCTACAATTAAAAGATGTTTATTTTTACTCTTCAAAGGTTCCCAAAAGGAAGGTCAACAAGAGAGAGGGGATAGAAACCGTGCTGAACCGCGTAAAGGAAGACAACGATACGACCGCCCGCAGGTATAGATACGCGGAGAGCGACTACAAAGACTTATTAATCATCGAGAAGAAATGGCTTAAAGAAGTAAAGAAAGACCCACAGGCCAAAGAAATGGACCTTATGGTAAAACAAAGTGTTTCTTATTTCCAATAATGCGCAATATTATAAAATATTATTCAGTTTTTTAAAAGGGTACCATTAGTAGTCTAAGTTTGGAAAGATGTTTATGACGTCATTTAGGATCCTAGAGATGCCACGATGGACGATAAACGCTACAAACATTTGAAGAACTTCATACAAGAGGAAGTGAAAGAGAATCCAGAAAACGCTAATTCTCAGAAGGAACTGGATGATCTTCTGCTGGCGGAGAGGAAATATTTCACCCTTCATCCAAATGAGGAAAAGGTACTCGAGTAAAGAAGTCTTACATTTGTATTCATATAAAGGAATGGTTTCATGTTCTAACAACTTAAAAAAACATTTCCCTCTTGTGTACGTATGCAATAGTTATAATACTTTTTTATTTTTGATATTCAACATCCATCACTTTTTTTTAAAAATTGTAACGGAAACTTTTTGACGAAAAAAAAACTAAAGTCTAAAATTGAAAACTTATTTCTTAAAGGAATATGTTGAAAGTCCAGAAATTGTTCGTAAACCATCCAAAGAAAAGAAAAAGAAAGGAGAAACGACTCATCCTCCTCACAGAGGAAAAATTCATAGGTCAATCTCTCAGGCCAGTCTGACCAGTGAAGATAGCGAAGATGGTGGCTCGAAACCAGACGAGAAGAAAATGGCCGTGTCCTTGGAAAGACTGAAAGAAATGGAGCAGCGAGAACAGCTTCATCTGGCAAAAATCGAGGAACTCACAACGAGGTGGGATCTAAATCCCATTTGTACACCAACTTTTATCTTTTATTCGCGATTCGTTCGTTTGAAATCAATCTGCGACGATTAATTTTCACGAGGAAACATTCCTTAAAAATACTTTAGCAAAATTATTGGTTGGCGGCGATTAATAATCGAGAGTTTAAGTTGGCCGCGAAACTCAAGAATATATTTTTCACATGCGAATAAAAGTCGGTTTACAGTACTCCTATCATCAAACATTTAAAGCATTAATTTTCAGATGTGTTAAAGGCATTATATATTAGTTCTGAAAAGAGACCCTTTCTAAATTTTTATCATTTTCTCTCTTTAATATTGCAAATTTCTACAACTCTACATTTTCATGTGGTTGATATCGTGTACTGTATAACGTTCCAAATTACCAAGATGTAGTGGGAATATATTTAATATTTATGTATTTGCAAATAACACATTTAAAAAGAAATTGGTACAGGTCTTGTATTAAAACATATTCATTTTTACCTTAGATTAAGTAGTTTTGCCAGTAAACAGCTTCTAGAAGGTAATCCCAACATAGCGGACTTAAGCGATGCCAACAGACCGACAAAACTCAGTGAAAAATTTAATAATGTTTACGATAATGAATGGTCAGATGCTTTTGAAGAGTTGCAAGAAAGTGGCAAAAGTGACGAGGAGATCATTAAACTCTTAATGGAAATAATCATCGTAAGTTGGATATATGATGCATTCAATTTTAAACTGTAAATTTAAAAAGATCCCTTTTGAATGATATGTATTGTTTTGATTTTAATGGAACCTTTTTCGGGCTTAGCACGCTGATAAATTCACCAGGGATGTCAAAGAACAGCAACTGGAACGTTTGATGGATAGTATGCGATTCTGCATGGTTCACGTCCAATGGACCATCAAAGATGAGGTAATTTTGAAGTATTCAATGTAAAAATAATTTTTAGTAGTGGAAATACTATTTTTTTTTTCACTTAAAATTTAGAAAATCTACACATGACTTATTTTAACGGAACTTGATATGATTAAAATATCGGACCATTTTTGTTTGAAGGATGTTCGAGTTGATGACAAATCCAGGTCTACAAAACACGATCCAAAGTGTTTTGCTTCCATAATTAAGCATGCAAAGGAGTTCCAAAAGGCATCAGCCAAAGCCTCAGTCCCATCTCTATGCGTGGTAGGTTAAACAATTTTGCATTTATTCATAGCACTATCTTTCCAAGCAGGAATTCTTCAAAACCCTATCAGTGTTAGATATTTTAATATAAATAATAGTTGAATTAAATTTGAATTACCATACGTATACTTAAGAAAAACCCACACAGAGATATACAGCAGTTTTCCATAAATTTTCTACCAGCCCTTTTTTTTACTCCAACTAAAATAACTATATAAAATGTTAACAGTAGTATAAAAAGAGAAACTTTAGAAGTACAATCTATCCGGGTATTTAAGAAGTTGTATACATTATAGATGTGGATACTTAAAATATCAAAGGAAATTTTGAAATTTAGATTAAATTGATCACATCTAAACGTACATTTTGTAAAGACACAATCCATGTTGAATTCAAGTTCAGTCTTTTTCATATCGCAGAGAGCTTCTTTTTCATTAAAAAAAATGAAACTACTAGTAACCCTGCAATTGGTCATGTGCGAAATTTTTTTGCTAAAACATTCTGATTGTAAACGCAAGTACTCCAAAGTTGCCATCTTCGCTAGCCAAGGGTTTTTGATACGCTCCTCTCCTCATAAACATCTTCGCTAGCCAAGGGTTTTTGATACGCTCCTCTCCTCATAAACCCTTGGCCTACGGTGTTCATAGAAATTGGGATTTTTTTCCAGAGTTCTGATTGGATTTCAGTACACCCAGGTCGACCAATCAGCAATTGTTTTTTGTAAATGACGATATTTGCGTTCGGGATACATCTTCACTCTTTAATCTCGGAAATGAAAAACGCAAGAAAACAACGATCCGTAAGATAACATTCAATTCTATGAATAGCCTTGGTGTCATCCAATGTCTTCTACATATGTGATTAAGAATCTATATTGAAGCTTCAGATTTGTTCTATAAATAATGAATAAACATAACTCAATTATTGCTTCTTAATTATTCTTGAAAAAACTTTGATTTAATTTTTTTTAACACGTGTCTTTATTTCTGGCGATGACGCAATCTGTGCGTACCTTATAGATTCGAGATCACGTGACGGAAAACAATCCCGTCTTTTGACTTCACCGTAGGCCAAGGGTTTATGAGGAGAGGAGCGTATCAGAAACCCTTGGCTAGCGAAGATGCAAAGTTGCTTGAGATCCTGAATTGCAACATCTACATATTTTTGAGATCGTCTTCCAACAATCTTCTGGAATTTCTATTGGTACCAAATGTCACAGTGAAATGTATCACATGATAAGCAGACCTTTTTGTTTTCATTTGAAGCAATATTTATTCAGAAACTTTGTATAAAAGGATTTCTGTTGTGGTCTTCTATTTAATAATAGAAATACAAACGACGTATTATCAATTAACAATACCAGGTTATTACTTTCATACATATATGTTGACTAGATATTATATCCCAATAAGCTTGAAAGATACCACAGAGTCTGACACATCTACTTCATATATGGACATTTTATTCGAAATACATGCTACTGATAACCTAACAGCAAAACTTGATGATAAACATGATTACATCAACATTTCCATCTTCAGTTTCCCTTACTTATGTAGCAAAAACCCTTATCACTCGCTCAGTTGTTGCTATATGCAATAGCATGGTCTCAATTTTTGAAATAAGGCAATATTTTTACAAACAAGATGATGAAGCAAGGAATGTCAACATTATTATTTATAGTTAACATCCGCAAATTCTACGGTCGAATCAATGTCCTTGTCAGTAACTGAAATTTATCATGTGTTAAATGCTTACTGACTTTTCTCATACAAATTATTTTGGCCATTATTTGAATGCTGAATTGTCTTTGGATTTTCCGAATGCTCGACGATCATGACAAGGAACACACGACAGGTTGTGAGCGGTTGATAGGGGCTTTTTACTTCTCCATGTTACCTGATCGCACCTTTGATGTTTTTAGAGGCCCTCGTTTGCTCTTCTCTCAATTTATATTGTTTAAATTGACATTTGAAATTGATTTTTATAGTTTCTCTCGACATTTCATCTGAACACTGTCATACATGAGGAAACAAAATTGATAACGGCTAAAATAAGAAACGGAAAACAAAAAATATAGCCTAAATGAAATGCTTCATTAATTAAATTGTAACATTTTTTTGCAGTGAAATACATAAGCATTTTGCTGCATACGTGTATTTCATACGGATAAAGAGTGAATCGCAAAATTGTAACAAGACACCAGAAACAAGAAACAGTTGCAACAATTGTCCAAAATGTCGTCAAAAGACTTTTTGTATTTTGTGTCTTAATGTATACTTTTAAAGTTCAGTATTATTAATTATGAAAAAAGAGAAAGCATTGAAATAGAGAGTACTAGCATGTTTGTTTGGCAAAAATTATAAGAATAGACTATATACATTGCATCCTTTACAATTCAGTTCAAACAATATACATGCATGACTGTGCAACAAAATTTGGAAAAATAATTTACTGAGATACAGTTATTCCTTTGCAGATGTTCAAGGAAACATTTATCAGAGAAGGTCGTAAACTGGACTACCAAAAACTCGTGCATGTCGAGCAGTACATAGACAAGGTGGTTGAGTTAGTGTGGTTGATGGTGGTTCAGGATCCGCCCATGAGCATCTGCTGCCAGAAACAGGGGGAGCAGATGGACAAAAAGTCCTACAAGTACTACGAAAAGAAGGGGGACCTCGTGAATCTGACAGTCTGGCCTGCTGTCTTTCTGTATGATAAAGGGCCTCTTGTCAGCAAAGGGTTCATCTGGCCTAAGTAATCTAAGGCAATATACATTGACATTTTCAGTTTATGTCCCAACTTAACTCTGAATGTAGTTAGGTACATGTATACTAAAAAAAGAAGCCATACTTTATATATACATCAATGGAAGATTTTGCAACTCCATTTATTTTTTGAGTACTCATCGTGTAGAATTTTAATTTTTTATGATGATTATTATTTTTTTTAATTACTAGTATTATTAATTGTTATCCGCTTTTTTGCAAGTTCTTTTTCTTCAAAACTTGGTAGTTGATTGCAATACATTACATTGTATTGTAAGTTTGCATTTTTGATACAAATGAAGCATTTACATCAATATAGATATGTTAATAATTTAATCATAATAATATGATCAATGTTAATAAACTGCAAAAATAATTTTGATATCGTTTGATTTATATATAAGATTTATGAACTGATATGAATATTTTAAACTACTATAAATGTCACAGAAATTTAGCAGAGTATGATTCAAACCAAAGTGATATATATTTGTGTCAATTAATTAATATAATAATTAATATATATAAACACCTTTTAGAAAGCTCTGAAAGTAATCCTAACATACATTTCTTTTTTTCGATTTAATTCAAGGTTTTATTTATCACCAATCGACCAATACTCTTCTGCATATTTTCTTAGAACAAAGATTTCAAGATTTCATTCTTCGTGAAAATCGATATACATGTATTTGTATTTTTTAAGGAATAACTGTCTTATTTTTTGATTTCATGATGTGATCAATCGATTGTCTTGTGTGATAATTTTATACATTATGTGCATGCTACGTATTTTTCATTCTTACATTAATACACTTACTAGCAAGGACAATGAGCCTTGAAGAAATTATTATTAAATTTTAAATTATTTGATTAACCTGAAAAAAAGCAAATATTGAAGATTAAATACACCATATTGACTCATTATTAGACATGTATTGAAATTCATTCCATGGTAGAATGGCATCATTGTTTCTTAACGTTATTTTTGGTTGTCTTCGATGTCTAATTTTCTTTACATAAGTAATAAACAAAAGACCCATTCATTGGCCAATTGGACCCCGACCCCAAAACGAGCTTGACATAGTTATCGTAAATATTAATTAAAAGCCCACAAAAAGCAATTGAAAAAAAACTACTACATTCAAACTAATTGGAAGTAATAAAAACATGCACAGACCTGCAAAATTATTACGAGTACTTGATACAATTTAAGATGCTGCTTCTTAATTTAATTAAATCAATTTTTTATTATGTAAGTAAGATTACATAATTGGATTAGACATCAGGCATGGCCTATATAAGGCAAGTCCTCTCCAAGGTCAAGGTTAAAAATGTTAAGAATTGACATAGCTGCAGATCTGTTGCTCTCCGAAAAAAATTATTGGTAGACCAGAGAGCTACAGTGCCACCCATTAAAAAAACTGTATATTTATTGCGCACAAAAAAGTGCGCTCGATTCTTGATTAATTCTTTCAATTAAATTCTTACCTCAATTGCAAAAAATGGAAGATTTAAAAAAATTCCTCTCTCCTCTATCAAGTTCTCTCGTAGTTGACATCTAAACGAAGCATATTGGACCCAATTATCTTTGAAACCAATTAAAATGGCAGTATACATAAGCGAAATGTTCGATGATTGCAATATCAGGGCTAGGAGGACTATTAACAACAAATATGAGGAATGTTTTGTTGTGGAAAGAGTCAAAGAATATGTTAGGAACAAACGATTAGTAATATTTTGAGATAACAGTTTTAAAAACATGAAAAAATTAATCGAGAACCGAGCGCATTTTTTTGTGCGCAATAAATATACGGTTTTTTCAATGGATGGCTCTGTAGCTCTCCGGTCTATCAATAATTTTTTTTTCGGAGAGCTACAGATCTGCAGCTAGAATTGACAATGATTTACAATGATGAAAAAATTACTTATAAGTTACATTAATTTTTGTTGATATCTAGGGTGGGAAAAAAGAAAAGAAAAAAAATTATACAGAAGCGTTATTACTAAGTACGTATACATGGTATCTCGCTATACAATATAATGGCAAAATTTTTTTAAAAAGTGTAAATAAACAGCAAATTAAACAGAATAAGTAAACAAATAAAGTGCAAAGAACAAATATGTAAAGAAAACTAGAGTTACTGTGAGCAATGAGCTCACTAAATGATTTCCCCCGACTCCTCTATGAATACAATGGCAGTATCAATGTTTTGCTCTGGAAAATCCAAAATATATGTCAGATCAAAAAGTAAAATATTAGGTCACAATGGCAATATGTATTAGAGATTCTGTGAGAGGTTCATTAAATTTCACTCAGTTGTATAAGAGGAGTTGCGGATAAGAGATGGGTACCTTAAAGCGTAACAGACGGACGGACGGAATGGACGATTACAATATACCCTCCCACTTTTCAAGCGGGGGGTATAAATACAAAACAGGAGGAAATAGTGACATTAAAATATGAATAGATTTGGATCACACAATTATCATTGAGAAAAGAAAAAATTAACAAAGTGGAAAAATACTTAATATACATGGGACATAGAAATGCTGAGACTTGAAGTAAATAGAAATATAAGAAATATCTGGATTTATTGGGTTTTTTTTTTAAATTAATTACAAAATACTATAAAAATCTTTTTGAAGACTTGATATACAGTTGGACTGCTTCAAAAATTAAACAGTTTATTTTATAAGGTAATTGTCTATCCCCAAATAGCAAATTTATTCAAAATTTGATCAGGAGACGTAATTTCTAATTCTGCTACACTCTGAAGACTTTCAAAAAGTATCATTCTCTGATTATTATATGCAGGGCATCCTAAGAAAATCCAGAAGTCTCTGTCGAGACTGAAGCTCTACTGGTTTGTACTTATCATATAGCAAAGGAAGAGAAAAGTACTTAAGCAGTTGGGAATTGAAACTTTACAACAGCAATAAATAGGATAATATGATCCTTGATTAAGTTTCATTATGTTCTTAGTGTAGTCTACTTGCATGGCACATTATTATAATCAGACTAAAACTGTATTTGGAGTAGCATTTTGAGAGTATATAACAGACATTTCTATTTTTAGTAACTGTGGCAACACCGTTCATTGAAGTAAAAAACCAATACACAGAATTATGTATTGTAGTCTACTTGTGTGCCAAGTTATATTGAAATCACACCAAAACTGTAGGAGGAGTAGCATTTTGAAAGAATTTCACAGAAATTTCTATTTTTAGTAACCACAGCAACACCTTTCATCGAAATCAAAAACCGATAAAAAAAATTATGTATCTTAGTGTAGTCTACTTTTGTGCCAAGTTATATTGAAATCAGACCAACACTGTAGGAGAAGTAGCATTTTGAAAGAATTTCACAGAAATTTCTATTTTTAGTAACCACGGCAACACCGTTCATCGAAATCAAAAACCGATATACAGAATTATGTATCTTAATGTAGTCTACTCGTGTGCCAAGTTATATTGAAATCAGACCAAAACTGTAGGAGGAGTAGCATTTTGAAAGAATTTTACAGAAATTTCTATTTTTAGTAAACACGGCAACATCTTTCATTGAAAACAAAAACCGATACATAGAATTATGTATCTTTAGTTAGTGTAGTCTACTTGTGTGCCAAGTTATATTGAAATCAGGCCAAAACTGTAGGAGAAGTAGCATTTTGAAAGAATTTTACAGAAATTTCTATTTTTAGAAACCACGGCAACACCTTTCATCGAAATCGAAAACCGATACACAGAATTATGTACTTTAGTGTAGTCTACTTGTGTGCCAAGTTATATTGAAATCACACCAAAACTGTAGGAGGAGTAGCATTTTGAAGAATTTTACAGAAATTTCTATTTTTAGTAACCATGGCAACACCGTTCATTGAAATCAAAAACCGATACACAGAATTATGTATCTTAGTGTAGTCTACTTGTGTGCCAAGTTATATTGAAATCAGACCAAAACTGTAGGAGGAGTTGCATTTTGAAAGAATTTCACAGAAATTTCTATTTTTAGTAACAACGGCAACACCGCTCATCAAAATCAAAAACCGATATACAGAATTTTGTATCTTAGTGTAGTCTACTTGTGTGCCAAGTTATATTTGAATAAGATCAAACTGTAGGAGGAGTTGCATTTTGAAAAATTGTTTACAGACAGACAGACGGACAGACAGACAGACGGACGGACGACGGACGCATTACCATCGCATAAGCTCTTCTGGTCTCTGACCACTAGAGCTAAAAATGATAATTATCCTCGTTCAGATGTCCACACTTAGTACAAGATGCTGTTTCGCTTAGATACCGATTATACAGATAAGCATTTTAAAAAATTACTAGATTCATTTCTTAGTTGACAATGTATAATGTTTTCCTTGCGATTGCCATTATGAAAAATCTTGACATCCTTTATTCTATCTGCAGTAGGTTTCTTTAAGACATTCTTAAAACATGAATAAGATTCAATACATTTTGTTTCTAATGGTAAAATGTTCCATAATTGAATAGTAGAAGGCAGAAAACTGTTGAAGTATGAAAGTGTCCTTGCTTGAGGTATGACAAAAATAAAATTATCAATATTTGTAAGATTGTAAGCATGATTTGGTGGCATAATAGATTTTGACAGGAGAAATAATATCTGATATTTTTGTCTTGATCATTTTTTTTCTCACAGAGAGAAAGAAAAAAACCCCTTGAAATCAAATTAGTACAAATGTATATATCTTTGCAGTTTTTTTTTTGCCACATGATCTTCAAATAATCTTTAAGGAACTGTCTAGATAGAGGTTATGAAGGAGATAAAGACTTGGATAATTATATTTCCTTTATTCATGTTATTGGTGAACTGTATCAAAATCGAAATAAAAACCATTTAGAAACCATCAATCATGAAATATCAATTTAAATGTGTTCTGTTTCATTTAAACAGTCAATTTAAACACAAATATTACAGGTCAATATTTAAAATAAAATAACCATTACCAATTATTATATGCAAACGGCTTTCCGAGAATGCAAGGTCTATTTTGAATGTGATCGACCGTAGTCTTGAATT